GAAGTTTTGGTATGTTGTTTTCATTTTTGCACATCTGAAGGTATTTTCTAATTTCCCTTTTCATTTCTTCTTTGTCCCTTGGTTATTATGGAGTGTGTGGTTTCCACATGTTTGTGAATTTCTCAAATGTCCTTCTGTTACAGATTACTTCTGACTTCCACTCCCTGGACCCTTTGGCTCCTTGGCCAGCTGTCCATCTGGTCTCCATATTCCATACGCACTGTCTCCTATCAAAGCCCTGCTTCTGGGCTCATGTCCTCAGGAAGCCTCTTCAGCATATGCAGAGGAGAGCATACTCCATGGGATACCCTGATGTTCTCCATGAAGTGCCATACCATGCCATTCCTAAGACCAAGTCCTTCTGCCTTTATGTCCACAGCAGGGGAAGATGGTCAGCAAATCTCAGAATTATCCAGTTAGCATGGTGAACAACCAAGCCCATCGTTGGTCTACACACCTGGCCTAATTAGAGGCCATTACTGACCACTATAAGTTGGTGCTATATTTCAGAAGCATCTTGGTATTTTATAAATCTTGTAGTTCTTACTAACAAATCAACACTTTTGTACAAAAGTTACTTCTGATCAGGTATAAAACCTGATTTAAATGAATTCAGTTTTGCTGGTAAAATGAATAAATAAACAGAAGTATAAATCAAAGATCTACTAATTATCCTGCTGAGTACCTACAGATGCTAAGTGGAAATTAATTTTTAGTTATAATATGCTTGAAACATATATAGACTCAGAGTAATAACCCATTTTTCTGGTCATAATTCAGACAATCTGAACATTCTGAAACACATTGTGAACTCAAAAATGAATTCACAAAATAGCTTCCAGCCCTTCTGCCTCATAATTCCTTTTCCTTTCTTAACCTAGGCAATTCCTACTTATCTTTCAAGACTGCATCTAAAGGTCACCTCCCTTGCATGGCCTCTCCAAGTCCAGCAACAGTCTTGGCAGAACAAATCTTCCCAATCTCTGGGTTCTGCAGCACGTGCCCTATGTTGAGCCCTGGCTGTTCATTTCTGCAGCCATCTCTTTTCCAAGGTTGTGGGCCCCACCACAGCCTTTGCAGTTCCCAGCACCTCAATCCGCTGACTGTCCATGCTAGCTGGCTCCCGCAGCGTGGGATCTGCTGACCCAGACATCACTTGCTGCATCTTCACAGGCCACACAAGCCACTCTGGGAGCCAGGTGCTGGGGAGAGCCGAAGGCGGTTGAGTAGTCTTCTGCGTCCCAGCAAGGCTGTCAGCCTGGTGTGTGGGGCTGTGCTTCTCCTGCTCTGCACTGACTTAATACCCGTCTCGGTGGGTTAGGTGCCTCCTAGAAGGCCACTCTGTATGTGGAGGCTGTCCTGACCATGGCCTGCTTGACTCAGGCTAGGACATAGCAGGTGCTTGGTAACCACCTGCCAAACGGATGAACAAGGGCCCACCCATTTCACTTCATGAAAGGGTGTCAGCCCATCTCCCTTTTCAGATGAGCTTGTTGGACCTTTCATGTACCACTTGGGTATCTGATACCATATAGTAGTTTTAAACTTTACTAGGGCCACTACCAGGAGTGCAGAGACTGAAGATAGATGGTTGGCTCACTGGGGCGAAAGGTAGCCTCTGAGAAGACTGAGGAATACCCACAGAGAGCAGAGCCCATCCCAAGAGGGGCCCAGGATGGTGCTGGGCAGAGCTGCATGGCCATCTTGCCTGGGGGCAAATGACTTTACACACTTCAGGAGGCCTGAAACTATCACTGAGTGTCCAGGCCAGACACCCTGGCAAAATAGTTGATAAAATTCAGTGGAAGAACAAGGGAAACCCCACACAATTTTACAGCCCTGGAGGGCATCAATACATCAAAGTTTAAGTTCAGCACTATGTTCAGAACAAGGGCCTGAGTCACTGAGAATAGGTTAAATGATATTCACCACACTCTGTCAGCAGGCTGCCAAGAACAAATAGATTTTAGAAACATTTCTTTCTAAAAATGCAAATGTTTTCATAGAGCTGAAAGTAATAAATTTCAGTTATCTAGACAACAGGGGACACCTTATTCCCCAGAGATGTCCACTGACTAAGGCCTCAGGTACCCATAGACACACAGCACTCGCAATGAACCAAAGTATGTGCAGTGTAGATACGTATTCAGAGATTTGGGGAGGGCCTGATCACAGCAGGGTCTGAAGAGAGAAGTTCTGTTGAGAAAAGCAACAAGGTATCACTCATTCCTGAGTCAGCCAGTCCCAAGCCTGGCAAACTGCACCCCCTACATTAAACTGAACTGCCCTTCCAGCTCCTGACCTGTGGCCCAAGCTCTGTGGTCATGACTCTTATTCCTGTTTAGATTTTGGTGGCTTCTGTCTGGATCTCTGGTGGCTCACTGGCACTGTCCCACAATTCCACCTCCTGGCTCCACCACTCACCTCTGGCCACCCTAGGGCTAGCTCCAGCTCTCCTCAGTTTTCACTCTCTGCCAGACCCCAACAGGAGGTCAGGCCGCAGCCACGTGGTAACACAGCTTGCTGCAATGGGCCTTGCTACAGCCATCTTGTAATGACCCGAGATATGCCCAGTCTGTCTGAACAAGGCTAGTGCTCTCTGACCTCACTTTTCTCTGACAGGATACAGTGTGTACTAGCCTCAAATATCCATTTTAAAGTGGGGTACCGTCAACATCCAAGGAGCCGAGTGATGCAAATCCTGGCTGGTTATGGGCATTCACAAACAGAAACCCTAAAAGGCATATGCAATGGAGACAGACCACTGACTGCCCCATGGGACCAAGCAGGGCATGCTCAGCACTACAAGCCATTATAGAGGAAGTTCTCAAACTCCCGGGTGCAGAGAGGTACCTGGGAGGCCAGGAG